CCATATGTGCATATCATAGCAGTGGCACGCTTCGGTAGAAGGCACTGTCCTTTTTCAAGATATGAGTGTCAGCGAGTTCGTGTGGAAAACAAAACCGAGAGAGAGACGCCGACGACTGCGACGACTGCAACTAGTTGTTTCCTCCTTCTTTCGCCCTCCTCCTCCTCCTCCTCCTCATTGTCCCCCCCCCTCCGCCGCTTTCTCTTTCGCCCCCTCCGAGAACCTGTCAAGGCGCCGAAAACTGCCCCGCAAGGGAAGGGCGCTGAACACCGAAAAAGCAAAGCGCCTGAGACACCCCGCCCAATCTGGGCGCGAACGGGCCCGTGCGATCCCCCCTGGCGCCCCCCCCCCCCCCCCTGGGATCGCTGGAACCAGCGCCTCGCCTAAGACATCATCGAAAACTGCTCCGAAAGAGAAGGACGTCGGGCACCAAGACAGGCAAACCGCCTGAGACCCCCCCCCAATGCGCGCGCGAACAGGCCCGCGAGATACCCCCTGGCGTCCCTCTTGGGAGCGCTGACACCAGCCCCACGCCTGAGACATCCTCGGGAACTGCTCCAAAAAGAAAAAAACGTCGGGCACCAAAACAAGCAAACCGCCCGAGACCCCCCCCCCAATGAGCGCGCGAACAGGCCCGCGAGATACCCCCTGGCGCCCCTCTTGGGAGCGCCGACACCAGCGCCCCGCCTGAGGCGCCCTCGCCGCCGTCGTCGCCGCCGCCTCCGCCGTCGTCGTCGCTGCCCTCGGGATCGCTGCGACCCGCCGCGAAGCGCCCGTCGCCGCCCGCCCCCCCTTCCCCGAGCTCCGCGCGCCCCCCCTGGCGCGCGGGAAAGGCTGGGCGGGCGGCAGCGGGGCCGCGCGGCTCGGTCGCGGCGCCACCTTCTGCCCCAGCGCGCAGCCCCAGGCGCCCCTCCTTCCCAGCGGGCGTCCGGCCCCTGGGTCGTCGGCGGCGGGCCTGCGCGCTTCGGCGACAGGCCGCCGCGCTCAGCGTCGCCGCCGCGGCTGGGCGCCGCGCTTCGGCGGCCCCTCGCCGCAGCCGCCGCGGTCGTCGCCGCCGTCGTCGGCTGGGCGTCGCGCTTCGGCGACCCTTCGTCGCGGGGCCGTCGCCTCGGCCCTCGCCTCGGCGCCGCGGCCTCCTCGGGCCGCAGGTGGTGCACCCTGTGGGGCCACTCGTAGTGCGCCCACTTCCAGGGGGGCGCGCACCATTGTGGCCTCGTTGCGGTAGCCCTTGCTCCAGGACCACCGCTTGCTGGCCTCCCCCCACGGCTCGCGGCAACGCAGCTGTGGCCTGCTGCCCCCCGCGTTCGCCGCCCGTGCCGCGCGTGATCTTGCGAGGGATCAGGCGCAGCGCCAGCAGCTCTTCCGGCGAAAGGTCTTGCCAGTCGACCACCTCGCCCAGCTCAGGTTTGTTTTCGGCTTCGAGCTCGCAAAGGGCAGCGCCAGGCGGCGGCGGCGCGGGGGGCTGTGAAGCCTGTTGTACACAGAAGGATGTTGGGCACCGAAACAGGCAAACCGCCTGAGACATCCCCCCAATCTGGGCGCGAACGGGTCCGTGGTATCCCCCCTGGTGCCCCCCCCCCCCCATGGGAGTGCTGAAACCAGCACCTCGCCTGAGACATCTTCGGAAACTGCTCCGAAAGAGAAGGATGTTGGGCACCAACACAGGCAAACCGCCTGAGACATCCCCCCGATCTGGGCGCGAACGGGCCAATGATATACCCCCTGGCGCACCCCCCTTGGGAGTGCTGAAACCAGCGCCTCGCCTGAGACATCATCTGGAACTGCTCCGAAAAAAAGCTGTTGGGCACCGACACAAGCAAAACGCATGAGACATTCCCCCAATCTGGGCGCGAACGGGCCCGCGGTATACCCCCTGGCGCACCCCTTGGGAGTGCTGAAACCAGCGCCTCGCCTGAGACATCCTCACAACGTGCGTGTGTGTGTGTGTGTGTGTGTGTGTGTGTGTGTGTGTGTGTGTGTGTGTGTGTGTGTGTGTGTGTGTGTGTGTGTGTGTGTGTGTGTGTGTGTGTGTGTGTGTGTGTGTGTGTGTGTGTGTGTGTGATTGTGTGTGTGTGTGTGTGT